GATGGATTAAGCAAAATGTCTATATTTTCATTTTATACACATTTAATGCACCTCAGTGATTATTATTGTGTTATCATTATTAATATGGTGTCTTCAAGACCAATTACACTCTTAATGAGTGGCTCTGAGACAGACAGGCAGACAGAAAGACAGACACAGGTAGACAGAAAGACACACACAGGTAGACAGAAAGACACACAAAGGTAGACAGAAAGACACACACAGGTAGACATAAAGACACACACAAGTAGACTGACACACAGGTAGACAAAGACAGACACACAGGTAGACAGAAAGACAGATGCACAGGTAGACAGATAAAAAGACACACAGATATACAGGCAGACAGATACAGACAGGTTTATGTGCAACAGTGAAAACAAATAGAGAGTTCGAGAGTAAGAGCCTTTCTTGCCACAATCTCCAGTGCAAGATTCAGACTTCATCTTAGGGGCCATGGTGAAATTTACTGTCCAGTTAGTACAGTTAATACAGTATGATGCTGCTGATAGGACAGGGTTACTCAAACTGATGCTGCCTGCATGACACATTGCCGCCGCGAGTATTGTCAAATATTGTACAGTGGTGTGCATCAGCCGGCCCAGCTCAGCTGCCAGATGCACGGTCGTAAGTCGAGTGGACGTATGTCGAGCAGGTCGTAAGTCGGATGGTAGGTGTACTTAGTACAATTTACGACGTTTTCATGTATTTTATGATTGTTCATGGTTCAACAAGTTAGGGAAGCAGTATTGTATTATATTTCCCTACAATATATTGGGGCACCAAACATTCGCGATTTTTCAACATTCGCAAGGCTCTTGATCCCCTATCCCTTGCGAATGTTGAGGGAGACCTGTATTTCTTATGGGGAAAATTGATTCGAAAATCGTCAATTTCGATAATAGTCACACTTCCAAGAACGGATTAATTACGAAAAACGAGGGACCACTGTAATTTGTTTACTCTTAAACATAGCCAAGCAATGGACCATTTCTCCTACGTTGAGCTCAGTTTCAAGGTACTTTTCGTTGTGAAAGCAATCAAAATCATATCTATTTCTGTAATATATCTTCCATTCTATCAAATGAGACCAAAAAAAGAGAATACAACCATAAAAACCATATGAATATACAGCTAAGGGATGGCTAATTGCTGAGAAGTGAACTCCATTATTTATGCTTAGATTTCTTTCATTTTTGGTGTACGTCAAGAAGCATCTTTCCATCATACATTGCCCAAGTTTCAATAAGATAGTCCGACAAACAAATGAGATACAATTCCTGAGATCAAGAGCAAAAGCCCCTCACCAGTGTCAAGGAACCTGTCTGAGGTCTGCTCGCTTATGGAAATTTTGTTCGTGTATGGAAGCAAAAAAATCGACCCATCGACTGCTCGTACATATTTGGAAAAACTCGCACGTGGACACGCTCGCAAGTAGAGGTTCCACTGTACTAGTGATATTCATGAAATAACAGATTATGTAGAACAGGATGATGATAAACTATGCACAATTGCGGTAACTAGTGACATGGTCCTCAGACAAATAGAGAAACTAAAGCCTAACAAATTCCCAGGTCCTGATGAACTGTTTGCAAGGGTGTTAAAGGAGTGTAAAGAGGAACTTAGCATACCTTTGGCTAATCTTTTTAACATATCACTACAAACTGGCATAGTGCCTGATAAGTGGAAAATGGCAAATGTAATACCTATTTACAAGGCAGGTGACAGGTCCTTGGCTTCTAACTATAGACCAATAAGCCTAACCTCCATAGTGGGAAAATTTATGGAATCAATAATTGCCGAAGCAATTCGTAGCCATCTTGATAGGCACAGATTGATTAATGAATCTAAACATGGTTTTACAAAGGGGTGTTCCTGTCTTACGAATTTACTTTCTCCACTAAGGTGTTTGAGGAGGTAGATGATGGTAATGAATATGATATTGTGTATATGGACTTCAGTAAGGCTTTCGATAAAGTTCCACACAAGGGGCTATTGAAGAAACTTAAGGCACACGGAATAGGAAGAGAAATTTTTTCCTGAGTAGAGGCATGGCTTACAAATAGGCAGCAGAGAGCTTGTATAAATGGGGAGAAATCAGAATAGGGGCACATCACAAGTGGTGTTCCTCAGGGGTCAGTGTTGGGCCCGTTGTTGTTCACAATTTACATAAACGACACAGATGAGGGAATAAATAGTGACATACGCAAATTTGCTGATGACACCAAAATAGGCCATCCAATTCATTCTAATGAGGACACTAGAGCACTCCAGGATGATTTGAATAGACTGATGCAATGGTCGGAAAAGTGGCAGATGCATTTTAATATTGACAAATGCAAAGTTCTAAATGTTGGTTAGGCCTCATTTAGACTATGCTGCTCAGTTTTGGTCACCGTATTACAGAATGGATATAAATGCTCTGGAAAACGTACAGAGGAGGATGACAAAGATGATCCCATGTATCAGAAATCTTCCCTATGAGGATAGACTGAGGGCCCTGAATCTGCACTCTCTTGAAAGGCGTAGAATTAGGGGGGATATGATCGAGGTGTATAAATTTAAAACAGGAATAAATAAAGGGGATGTTAATGGCATGCTGAAAATTTCCAGCCAAGACAGACTTGCAGCAATGGTTTCAAGTTGGAAAAATTCAGATTCAGGAAGGATATAGGAAAGCACTGGTTTTGTAATAGAGTTGTGGATGAGTAGAACAAACTCCCGAGTACAGTAATTCAGGCTAAAACATTGTGTAGTTTTAAAAATAGGTTAGATAAATGTCGTATACAGTGGACCCCAGACATTCGATGACATCGACATTCGATAAGTCCGACATTTGTTGCATTTTAACGCAAAAATTTTGCCTCGACATTCGATCGAAGACCCACTATTCGATACTGTTCATACGAGACGTGTCCTTGTGTGGCCTGAACTGCCCCGTGTGTGCCAGTGTTTACAAGCCAGCCAGTGTGCTCGCATCTAAGCATACATTCGGTACATTCCATATTATCACAGTGTTTTTGGTACTTGTTTCTGCAAAATAAGTCACCATGGGCCCCAAGAAAGCTTCTAGTGCCAACCCTGTGGTAAAAAGGGTGAGAATTAGTATGGAAATTAAAAAAGATTTTGAAGGGTTTGGGGCTAACCCTGAGAAGCCTATGCCAGTTGTGGAATCCATTGTGCCTACTTCAAAGATTAAGGAAATGTGTGCAAAGTGGGCTGAATTGCACACCTTTATGGATGAAAATCACCCTAACACAGCTATTGCAAGCCGTGCTGGTGACTATTACAATAACAATGTTGTGGTCTGTTTAGACAAATCTTTAAGGAACGGGGAGGTACAGAGCTCTATGGACAGATATGTTGTCCGACAGAAGTCCAGTGACTCTCAAGCTGGTCCTAGTGGCATTAAAAGAAGAAGGGATGTAACCCCGGAAAAAGACTTGATACCTCAAGTCCTAATGGAAGGGGATTCTCCTTCTAAACACTAACACCATCCACACATTCCCCTCCTCCCATCCCATCAATCATCACCAGATCTTCATTAAAGGTAAGTGTCAATTATTCTATTGTTATTAATCTATTGTTATTGTAATTATTCTATTGCATTAAACTTAATATTTCATGTGGTAAAATTTTTTTTTCATACCTTTGGGTGTCTTGCACAGATTAATTTGATTTCCATTATTTCTTATGGGGAAAATTAGTTCGACTTTCGATATTTTCGACATTCGATGAGCTCTCAGGAACGGATTAATATCGAATGTCGGGGGTCCACTGTATCACGTTAATGTACACGATGGTTGATTGGGGTTTGGTATACAACCTGGCCAGCTCCGAGACACGCACTCCACTTTCGTACTTAGTAATTATCTCTTTCTTCATTTCCATAGTAATTTTCACCCTTTTTACCACAGGGTTGGCACTAGAAGCTTTCTTGGGGCCAATGGCGACTTATTTTGCAGCTACAAGCACTAAAAACACTGTGATAATATGAAATGTACCGAATGTACGCTTAGATGCGCGCGCATGGCGGATTTAACATAACGCGATGCGTTTGTAAGGCGGGGGTCCACTGTATTTTATTCATTCTAGAGTATATATCATGTCTATGTTATTTATATTGTTTACTATGTCATATTAGATAAATAAGCCTCAGAGTTCATATTAGGCAAATTACTTAAGTATTTTATATTGCCTGGACTTCCACTGGAATGAATTACGTAATTCCATTTCAATTCATTTAAATGAGGAAAATTGACTCTGCAAACGAGTAAATCCAGATGTGAGCAAGGTCACAGAACGGATTAAACTTGTTAGTGGAGGTTCCACTGTATATAGCTGTGCCACCACCTAATTGGTCTGGCCTACAATTGTGTATGGCTATGTAGCAGGGTATGGCAGAGATGTTTGTAACACCATGTTTTAGCCATGTTTCAGTGAGAGTAATGATAGACATACTGACATTTAGAGAACTGAGTAGTGTTTGGAGGTCATTATAGAGTTTGCGTAATGATCTGACATTATAACCGAATACTGTTAGGTTGTTGTTAGCACTGAGTAGTGTCTTAGCCTGACAACTTGCAACAACTTGCAAACATTGGTGAGATCACTGGCATTCATTGCAGCTACTTTTAAATTATTTTATATTCGCATGAAAATGCCAAACACATACAGGTCATAGTACCAGATGAATGAGAGGTAACCAAGCTCGATACAGGTCAAGTAAGTTTATTTAGGTATAATTACACGTAAGTATAATTAAACACTTCTTTACATGGTAACATTTGTAAATTATCAGAATAACCCAGAAAAGTCGGGCAAAGTGACTTATTTCCACTGGGGTCCTTGTAATATCTTACTATTCACAGTTTAACTATTAGAGACCATAACAGTCAAGTCATATACTGTGTCCAAAGTTCAATCCCTGGCATGCGTAGAAATGATGGTTATGTTTCCTTAAGCCCACTCCCCCTGTTCACCTAACAATAAGTAGGTACCTGGGTGTTAGGCAGCTGTTAAGGGATGCATCCTGGGGATGGAGGGTAGTATACCTTAGTTACAGATGGGCTTCAAAATAAGCGGAGGTAGAATAACAGCTCTTAGCCTGTAAAATTTATTTGTGTATAAAAACTATAAAAATTAACTGCATGAAATCAGTTACAAGGGAAAGTGATATAACATGAGTAAAGTAAACTAAATGGTTTACATGAACATTAGCAAAAATCAGCTTGATATAATAGGCATATGAATGTTGTTCACAAAATTTCTTTCCTCCCTTTCTGAAGCTTCATTCATTAGGAACCTTTCAGTTCTCTTCCTGAACTGGTTTATGCTAAGACTGGCCTTAGACAGCTTCAGGCAACCCATTCCACTCCTTTATTGCTGTGTAATAAAAGGTATTTGAGGCCTCACCACATACTGTGAGCATTACAAAATTATGTTCACTTCCCCTGGTACCATACTGGTTTAGGGTACTAACCTTGACAATTTCCAGCAAGATAGTCTAGACATTGATTTAGTTTCAGCTGTCATACTCTATCTGCCACAATCAACAATTCCAGTTGTTGTACTCCATCCTTACTTACATGTTCTTTTGGACCCCAAGACCAGGATGAATCTTACCATCCTGTTGGGGCAGGGGAAGGTTGCTCCAATCCCTTGCATGAAGATCTCATCACTGGCATCAGGACACCATATTAAAGGAAGTCCCTAATAAAAATGTAACTTGCATGTAGAATATTGTGATAAAATAGCAAAATAAGGTGTCATGTGGCATGGTTCAATCCCCAGCATGGGAAAATGGGGCATGTTTCCTTATACCTACTGTCCCTATTCATCTAGCAATAAGAAGGTACCTGGGTATTAGTCGACTGGTGAGGGTCGCATCCTGGGGGACAAGATTAAAAAAACGTAATGGAAATCAGACACAGGTCCTTGATGATGCATTTCACTGGGCTATCCTGGGTGGCTGGGATAACAGCTAACATTTTGTTCAGATATTTAACTCAGCAAGGTTAGCAATTGGCATCCTCAATCTTTTCCCAGGAGGGGCCCCACACCAGTCAGAAAAACCCCCCAGGCCCTATTTAAATGCTGGGTAACAGGACAACGGTTTAAAGAAAACAGCCCAATTTTTCAACCCGGGGGGATTAACCCACTGATGTCGTGGAGGCTAAACTTTACCCCAGGCCAGGGGCCCTCCGAGGGGGTTACCCCAGGTAATTTAATATACAAAATTGATGAAAAAATTGACTTAATAAAACCTTGAAAAAATATCAAAATAGGGGGAAGCGCAAAACTGTAAGATTATACAGCGCAGGGGGGGGAAGGACCGGGTTATAATTCGGGGAAAGGCAAGCCCAATTTCCCCTAATCAAAGCCCCACCAGCGTCAAGGAACCCCCCTTTGAGGGCGGGGCCCTAAATAAATTTACTTTTCCATACAACATGAGAATATAGGCCCAAGGCCCCCATAGGAGTGGTGTTGACTTAATTACCCCAGAAACACAACAAGCGTAATGTATAAAAACTTAAGTATTTATGTCCCCTCCTAACTAAACAGACCCCGGTCACTAATTTTTTCCCTCAAAAAAAAATGTCCTTTCTTTTGAATTCACTTGTATGTAATCTCTTTTTACTACAATGTATTAAAATTTTCCCAAAATTAAAATGTAAACTTTTAGCCCCGCCCCAAAAAAGAATTAAAATTTTTATTTTTTAATTACCGTGGATGGGAGGTAGTGCCATGTCAACAATGTTAGTTAAAAAATGTAATGTACACCTAAACACTACAACATTAACACGTGTACTCACATAAAAACCCAACAGGGAAGCGACATTAAAAAAACCCCAGAGAATCCCAAATGCCCGTCCTTCCTTGTTTGTTTGGTTCCAATATTACACCAGCACCTGCTCAACAAATTCTTCACAAAATAACTATTGTGAATTATAGGCAATTATTGCGTCCATATATCCATTTATATATAAAGGTGAAATATACAATTTTAAGAAATAAACATGGAGAAAACTCATTTATATTTATTATATCAACAAAATACCCAACAGACGCTCCCTTAGAAATACCAACCTAAATATATATTTAGGTTAAATCTACAAGAAAAACAAATGTAGCAAGGTTCTTTTTCACCAGTTTTAATATACGCTATTTATATCTTAAATTCATCATTGTTCATAAAAATTATATACCCTACGCCCAGGAGTAAGACTTCAACTCACAAATTCAGCCAAATAAATACATCCCAGAGTGTAGGTTGCGACCCCTGCTTCAGGAGGAGGGGAGATGGTGGTAGTTGTTGTTGGGATGGTAGTGGTGGTAGTTGTTGTTGGGATGGTAGTGGTGGTAGTTGTTGTTGGGATGGTAGTGGTGGTAGTTGTTGTTGAGATGGTAGTGGTGGTAGTTGTTGTTGGGATGGTCGTGGTGGTAGTTGTTGTTGAGATGGTAGTGGTGGTAGTTGTTGTTGAGATGGTCGTGGTGGTAGTTGTTGTTGAGATGGTCGTGGTGGTAGTTGTTGTTGAGATGGTAGTGGTGGTAGTTGTTGTTGGGATGGTCGTGGTGGTAGTTGTTGTTGAGATGGTCGTGGTGGTAGTTGTTGTTGAGATGGTAGTGGTGGTAGTTGTTGTTGAGATGGTCGTGGTGGTAGTTGTTGTTGACATGGTCGTGGTGGTAGTTGTTGTTGAGATGGTCGTGGTGGTAGTTGTTGTTGGGTGGTAGTTGTTGTTGGGATGGGAGTGGTGGTAGTTGTTGTGAGAAGGTCGTGGTGGTAGTTGTGTGAGATGGTCGTGGTGGTAGTTGTTGTTGGGATGGTAGTGGTGGTAGTTGTTGTTGAGAAGGTCGTGGTGGTAGTTGTTGTTGAGATGGTCGTGGTGGTAGTTGTTGTTGGGGTGGTCGTGGTGGTAGTTTTTTGTGAGAAGGTCGTGGTGTAGTTGTTGTGAGATGGTCGTGGTGGTAGTTGTAGAGATGGTAGTGGTAGTAGTTGTTGAGATGGTCGTGGTGGTAGTTGTTGTTGGGGTGGTAGTGGTGGTAGTTGTTGTTGAGAGGTCGTGGTGATAGTTGTTGTTGAGATGGTCGTGGTGGTAGTTGTTGTTGACATGGTCGTGGTAGTTGTTGTTGACATGGTCGTGGTGGTAGTTGTTGTTGACATGGTCGTGGTGGTAGTTGTTGTGGGGTGGTAGTTGTTGTTGACATGGTCGTGGTGGTTGTTGTTGACATGGTCGTGGTGGTAGTTGTTGACATGGTCGTGGTGGTAGTTGTTGACATGGTCGTGGTGGTAGTTGTTGACATGGTCGTGGTGGTAGTTGTTTGGGTGGTAGTTGTTGTTGACATGGTCGTGGTGGTAGTTGTTGGGGTGGTAGTTGTTGACATGGTCGTGGTGGTAGTTGTTGACATGGTCGTGGTGGTAGTTGTTGACATGGTCGTGGTGGTAGTTGTTGGGGTGGTATTGTTGTTGACATGGTCGTGGTGGTAGTTTGTTGGGGTGGTAGTTGTTGACATGGTCGTGGTGGTAGTTGTTGACATGGTCGTGGTGGTAGTTGTTGACATGGTCGTGGTGGTAGTTGTTGGGATGGTAGTGGTGGTAGTTGTTGTTGAGATGGTCGTGGTGGTTGTTGTTGACATGGTCGTGGTGGTAGTTGTTGTTGGGGTGGTAGTGGTGGTAGTTGTTGTTGAGATGGTCGGGTGATAGTTGTTGTGAGATGGTCGTGGTGGTAGTTTTGGGTGGTACTTGTTGTTGACATGGTCGTGGTGGTAGTTGTTGACATGGTCGTGGTGGTAGTTGTTGACATGGTCGTGGTGGTAGTTGTTGACATGGTCGTGGTGGTAGTTGTTTGACATGGTCGTGGTGGTAGTGTTGTTGGGGTGTAGTTGTTGATATGGTCGTGGTGGTAGTTGTTGTTGGGGTGGTAGTGGTGGTACTTGTTGAGATGGTCGTGGTGGTAGTTGTTGAGATGGTCGTGGTGGTACTTGTTGTTGGGATGGTAGTGGTGGTAGTTGAGATGGTCGTGGTGGTAGTTGTTGTTGGGATGGTCGTGGTGGTAGTTGTTGTTGGGGTGGTAGTGGTGGTAGTTGTTGTTGAGATGGTCGTGGTGATAGTTGTTGTTGAGATGGTTGTGGTGGTTGTTGTTGTTGGGGTGGTAGTTGTTGTTGAGATGGTCGTGGTGATAGTTGTTGTTGAGATGGTCGTGGTGGTAGTTGTTGTTGGGGTGGTAGTTGTTGTTGGGGTGGTAGTTGTTGACATGGTCGTGGTGGTAGTTGTTGTTGACATGGTCGTGGTGGTAGTTGTTGACATGGTCGTGGTGGTAGTTGTTGACATGGTCGTGGTGGTAGTTGTTGACATGGTCGTGGTGGTAGTTGTTTGTTGGGGTGGTAGTTGTTGACATGCTCGTGGTGGTAGTTGTTGACATGGTCGTGGTGGTAGTTGACATGGTCGTGGTGGTTGTTGTTGACATGGTCGTGGTGGTAGTTGTTGGGGTGGTAGTTGTTGACATGGTCGTGGTGGTAGTTGTTGTTGGGATGGTAGTGGTGGTAGTTGAGATGGTCGTGGTGGTAGTTGTTGACATGGTCGTGGTGGTAGTTGTGAGATGGTCGTGGTGGTAGTTGTTGAGATGGTCGTGGTGGTAGTTGTTGAGATGGTCGTGGTTGTTGTTGTTGGGGTGGTAGTTGTTGGGGTGGTAGTTGTTGAGATGGTCGTGGTGATAGTTGTTGTTGAGATGGCGTGGTGGTAGTTGTTGTTGAGATGGTCGTGGTGGTAGTTGACATGGTCGTGGTGTTGTTGTTGGGGCGGTAGTGGTGTAGTTGTTTTTTGAGATGGTCGTGGTGGTAGTTGTTGAGTTGGTCGTGGTGGTAGTTGTTGTTGAGATGGTCGTGGTGGTAGTTTGTTGAGATGGTCGTGGTGGTAGTTGTTGTTGGGGTGGTAGTGGTGGTAGTTGTTGAGATGTCGTGGTGGTAGTTTTTGAGATGGTCGTGGTGGTAGTTGTTGGGGTGATAGGGGTGGTAGTTGTTGCTGACATGGTCGTGGTGGTAGTTGTTGTTGAGATGGTCGTGGTGGTAGTTGCTGTTGAGATGGTCGTGGTGGTAGTTGTTGAGATGGTCGTG